GGGGCACTTGGGTACACAGAGCCTGAAGCTTGCTTGCTCAGAAGCCCGGGCCTGCAGCTTCCCCCTGCAGCTCTGTGCCAGGGTGGGATCCGTGGCCCCGGGGGCCAGCAGGGGGAGGAGAAAGGAAGAGGGGCAGGGCTTCCCTGTAGCTGCCCGGCCTCGGGGAAAATCCCGCCGGCAGGGAGCTGGCCAGCGCCCAGACCCTGTCCAGCTCTCTTTGTGGCCTTTTCTTCCATATTCCTGTCCATCCATCCAGCCCCACTCTCTTTTGTCTAAGCTGGGTCCAAGTGGCCAAAGGCAAAGGATGTGTGTGTGTATGTGGGGGGGGGGCGCTCAGAAGACACCCCCTACCCTGCCCGGGATTGAGGCCCTCTTTGCCATTTTCTCACCTCTTTCCCGCAACCCCACCCCAGGGAGCGGGGATGGTGGCTACTGCTCCTCTGAGGCAGCTTGAGTATCCCTTTTAGTTGAGGGCTTCATGCTCCGCTCCCCAATGTTATCACCCCGAGTCTCAGCCAGAGAGTGAGTAGTTTTTGCCGTTCTGAAAGAAATAATACTATGTATATATAGGGAAAGAGCTAGGCTGCTCCCTCTTTTTCATGAATGGAGAAGAGATTCCCCACAGAGGGGAAAGATCATCTCAACAGTAGGCACTTGACTTTTGTAACAATGATGCCATTTCCTTGCGGAGGGCGGCTCCTTAACCCAGGGTCCAGCTGAAGCAAAACTCAGGAAGGCTTTTGAGCCGGCCATAAGGGAAAAAGGCATTGCACACACGTGGAAAAAAATTTTAAAAAATGGTTTTTTTAGAGTTTTGTCAAGGGCAGGAAGTGAGGGGTGAGGAAGTTTCAGGGGAATTTTAAAATGGGCAGTGAGGGTGGGGATAGGCCTGAGCTGAGGGATTTGAGACTGCTGCCCAGGGCTTAGCTGCCTCCTGATGCCAACCTGGGCAGAGGGTAAGGGTGTGGAGGGGGCATTCGCCCATGTGAGAAGCCAGGTCCCTGTTCCCAAAGCTCGGGGAGTGAAGTGGGTGTAGCATGCCTTCCCTGTTCTCTCCAAGTTGTGAATTTAAAGAAAAAAAATCAATGAACACTTTTAGGATTTATTTTTTTAAGTTTATTAGAGTTAGAGTTGCATAGAAAGAGAGATGGAGAGGACTCTTTCATCTGCTGGTTCACTCCCCAAATAGTCCCAGATGGCTGGAGCTGAGCCAGCTGGAGCCGGGAGCCAGGTGTCCCATGTGGATGCAGGGACCATCCTCGACTGCTTTCCCAGGCACATTAGCAGGGAGCTGGATTGGAAATGGGACAACTGGGGCTAGAATTGATGCCCATATGGGATGCCAGCACTGCAGGTGGCACCTTGACTCACTAGACCACAACATCAGCATCCCATAAATATATTTAAAAAAATGATCAGCCATGGTGGCCCAGGCTAATCCTGGGCCCTGCGGCACCTGCATCCCACATGGGGCTGATTTATGTTCTTCCTATGCACCTCACTGCTTATGGCCTGCCAAAGCAGCAAGGCTGGCTCACATGCTTGGGGCCCTGCCCCCATGTGAAAGACTTAGAGGAGGTGCCTGGTTCTGGCTTTGGATCAACTCAGCTCTGGTCATGGCGGTTAAGTGAACGAGCAGATGGAAGACCTTCTCTTTCTCTGTAAAATCTGCCTTCCAAATTAAAAAAATAACTACATTAAAAAAAAAAAACCCAGCAGATCTAGGGTGAGGTGGTGAGCAGAGGCTTTGGAGGCACTAGAAGTCAGGGAGGGCCCATACCTACTGGAGCCACAGGCTGTGGGCCAGGGGCAGGAAACGTTTGTTGGTGAAAGTCCGGGTTGCCTAATGTGAGCTGCCGCTGGGCAAGGGCCCTTGGCTGAGCCCTGCATTTGAAATGTGGTGGGGGGGGGGAAGGTTTAGAAGAGGGCGTGGAGAACAAGGAGGCAGCTCGAGTCCTTGAACCGAAGCAGCCCCTGCCCCTTCCGCGTCCTGCTCCCCCCCACCACCACTGACTTTGCCTTTCCTTCTAGGTAATCCATGTCACACTGTGGTCAGATTCAGGCACTTCCTGAAAGAGACCAAGGCGAGAAGGGTCCCAGGGGAGGAAGGCTATGGCTGGGGTTCCTCTGCCCTGGAGAGCTGGCTGGCACAGCCCCGAGAAGTAGCCAGGCTGGTCCTTGCCTGCCCTACCCCATTCCCAATTTCTTGTGCAGGCTTTCAGCTACAGGCTGGGGGTGTGAGGAGTGCCCGGGGCACCTGAAACAGCATCCCAAGGAGGCCTGGAGCTGGAAGCAGAGGTGCCTTCCTTCCTGGATGTCTGATGAGCAGACATCATTTGCCAGCTGCGGTCCAGATGGGGCTTGGCACCTGAACATGGAGTATCCTCTAAGTAAGGGGGGGATGCTGGTTGGTAGGGGGTGTGTTTTCCTTTTGGGTCCTCATCAAACGCACGCAAATTAGCACGGCCCAAGGTAGCAGTGCCCCAGGTGACAGGGTACCAAGGCCCGGCCTCGTGCTTCCTGGAAGGGTAGCTCGGTTGGGTGCTGGCTCTCCTGTTTTCTGCCTCAGCAGGCGAGAGCAGCTCTGCGGGCACAGGAGGGACTTGGCTGTGGGCTCTGCTCCCAGCCCTGCCCCAGCACACTGGGAGAGTTTTCTGGGGCCCCTGTTGTCATTGCTGAGTATGCACGGCCTGCCCTCCCTTCTCAGTCGCCGTCCCCGCAGCTCCCACCCCCAGCTGGCTGTCACTGCTCCCGCCCACAGGGTCTTAGCTTTGTGCTTAGAAGGCCGCTGCCCTCCCCACTTCCACATTGAGTTTTTTGACTGGCCGTCTCCTACACAAACCCAACTTCCCTCCGTTGGATTCGCTTGTGAGTAGATGTGGAGGGCAGCAGCAGAGTCTGTCTTTATTTCCTTGTCCGTCAGAGTGCCGCAGTTTCTTTCTTTTAAAAAATAGGGCCCAGCAAAGTGGCCTAGCTGGTGAATCCTCGCCTTGAATGCACTGGGATCCCACATGGGCGTCGGTTCTAATCCCAGCAGCTCCACTTCCCATCCAGCTCCCGGCTTGTGGTCTGGAAAATCTGTTGAGGCCAGCCTACAGCATTGGGATCCTGCATCCATGTGGAAGATCTAGAAGAAGTTCCTGGCTCCTGGCTCCTCATCAACTTAGCTCCTGCCAGTGCAGTCACTTGGGGAGTGAATCATCGGACGGAAGATCTTCCTCTCTGTATATCTGACTTTGCAATAAAAATAAATAAATCTTCTTTATTTTTTTTAAATTTTTTAAAGATTTATTTTTATTATAAAGTCAGATATAGAGAGAGGAGGAGAGATAGAGAGGAAGATCTTACGTCCGATGATTCACTCCCCAAGTGAGAGCAACGGCTGGTGCTGCACCGATCTGAAGCCAGGAGCCAGGAACTTCCTTCCGAGTCTCCCACACAAATATTATATATTTGTAGTATGTAAATATATTATATTTATATAATAATAAAATATATATATATGTATGTATATGAAGGTCAGAGTTACAGAGGAAACAGAGACCATTCCTCCACTGATTCACTCTCCAAGAGGGCCACAACATCCAGGGCTGAACCAGGCGGCAGCCATGAGCTTCAGCTGGCTCTCCCACGGGGTGGCAGGGACCCAAGCCCTTGGGCCATCTTCCTGCTGTTTCTCCCAGGTGCATTAGCTGGGAGCTGGATCAGAAGCGGGGCATCCAAGACTCAAACTGGCACCTATATGTAATGCTGGAAGCCCAGAGGTTTTACTTGCCATGCTACTGCCAGTCCCAAGTTGCCCGTATTTCTGTATTATTTGTATGCTGAAATAAACATTGGGTTCCTGTTGCTAGAAGAAGGGAGAGGTTTTGTGGGTTTTATTTATTTTTTTCTACTTATCCCTTATGCCCCATGGCTGTCCCAGGTGAGACATCTGACTTGGCGGGGGGACCTCCCTCTCCGTGCCTCTTGGGCTTTCATCCTGGTGCATCCGGAAGAGTTTTCCTCAGTGAATAGCGCTGGACAAACTCAGGCCCCACACCCCCCACCAGCAGCTTCACCCCTTCAACTTCACACCTCCCTCAGCCCTCCACCCCGCTGGGTTTGGAGGTCCAGCCCGGAACTCCTCAACCTGGTGATGCTGGAAGCTTCTTAGGTGCTCTTTTGCCTTCTCTGCACAGGGATCTGCTCCCAGAAGGACCCAGAAAGGGAGCAGGCTGCTGGTGCTGCTGGTGCCCAGATTCTGCCACCTAGAATTTGGGGTGTTCCCCGGAACCTCCCATCCAGCGGTCACTTTGTCAGGGGGTGGTGAGTGGGTGGGGTGCTTTCCAGAGCCCAGAGGGGATCGCAGCTGTGTAGCAGGGTCTGATGTGGAGTAGCTGGCCACACTCCTGCCTGCAGAGCGCCTGCTGGGAGAAAGAAGGGCAGAGCTGAGCCCATGATGGCCCATGCGTGCATGGTGAGAAGTGGGTAGCCTGAGGCAGGTCATGGAGGTCGGAGAAAGGCCCTGACGTTTGGGGCTGGGGTGCTGTGTTCTGACTAAGGAGATCATTGACTCGTGGACCTGGGAGGCGGGCAGGCTTAAAGGCCCTCAGGCACTGTGTAGCTGCTGGCCTGTCCCGGGGTGGGTAAGGAGTGGGGGTGAACCCAGGCTCTAGACCCTGCCCCAGGTCCCACACATCTTCCGTCCTGAGACACCCCCTACTGCCTGCCAGATGAAGGCCATGCCACACCAAGCCTCAGGGTTCTTAGTTTGACCTCGCCACAAGGGGCCTAACAATAGTGAGTTTTCCCAGGAGGGAGATCTGGCTGCTAGGTCCTGGGGTCTGCAGCCACAGCAGCCAAAGTTGGACCTCTCTTGTGGGTACTGCCAGGCTGGGCGGTGGGAGCATGAGCCATTCTGAGCTCACAGACTCCACCCCTTGCTGCAGGAGAACACACAGGCATCTGGTCAACCTGGGTCTGGGGGCCCCTGGTCAACCCTGGGTCTGGGGCCTCTGCAGAACTGCTGCCTGCTCCCACTCTGGTCTGTCTACAGAACACCCTCCACAGACCTTCTGGGCGGGGGGCAGCAGCCTTTCCCTGCCCTAACCCTACCACTGTCGCCCCAGCAGATGTTCCTCCTCTTCTCTGGCCACGACTCCCAGGCCCTCAGGTCTGCTGGCATTGCTTCCTCACCTTGCAAACCCTCCTTGGTTGCCGGGTCCCGGAATCAGGTTGGCTGCTTTCCCTCTGCGCCATGTCCCTTGCCGCCTGCCTCTGGCTATACTGTGCGGCCTTGTCGGGGAACACTCCTCTGTTGTTTCTCTTTTGGGGTGTCTTCACTGCGTGTGTCCTCTGTAGCTGCGTCTCTGGGCACTGGGACCCAGGCCAGGACATACCAGCTTCTGGGCATCGCTCTGCTTCCTTGTGCCCTCCACTGCAGACTGGGTGGGCTAGGAGCACCTGACATGCCAGGCTTGCAGGGGAGAAGGCACCAAACATCTACATCCTGTGGCCTCATAGCCTCCTCTGTGTCTCCACAGAGCCAAGACTGACTGGAGGGGGAGATCCTCTGGCCCCAGGCCCTGGCTGCAAGCCCCGTAGCCCGGGATGTTCTGGCCATGGCCTCAGGAGCCCCGCAGAGAAGCAGCCCGCCGGCCTGCAGCACAGAGGAGATCCCCAGCTTCCTGGACCAGCTCCTCCGTGACTTCCCCACCCCGCTGAGCCCCGAGAGCCCTTTGCCGTGGAAGGTCCCGGGGACGACGCTGAGCCAGGACGAGGTGGAGGGCGAGCTGGCAGAGCTGGCGCTGGGCTTCCTGGTCAGCAGGTAGGCCCTGGGTAACGTGCAGGGTGTTATGTCTACTCCCACACACATCCAACACTGTGCATGGCTGCCAGATTCCTGGGGTGGCACCAAAGGGACAGCCCTGTCTCGTAATCTCCCACCCTCTTTGTCTATGAGGGCTGGAACCATGGCTACTACTGATCCTTATAATAACTTTATACAGATACCATGCTTGTCATCTATATACATTGGTAAAAGGTAGCTTGTAAGATAAACAGAGCTGAGTAAGATCTAATACTGGGGCCCAGCACAGTAGCCTGGTGGCTGAAGTCCTTGCCTTGCAGCACTAGGATCCCGTATGAGTGGCAGTTTGTGTCCTGGTGGCTCTGCTTCCCATCCAGCTCCCTGCTTTTAGTCTAGAAAAGCAGTTGAGAACGGCCCAAAGACTTTGGATCCCATACCTGTGTGGGAGACTGGAAGAAGCTCCTGGCTCCTTATCATCTTAGCTTCAGCCATTGCAGCCACTTGGGAAGTGAGCCAGTGGGTGGAAGGTCGGTCTGTCTCTCCTTCTCTCTGTAAATCTGACATCCCAATAAAAATAAGTATTAAAAAACAAACAAACAAAAAAAGAACTAGCACCAGAACTATTAAGAGAACAGTAGAAGAATCCACCAAAAAGCAAAAATGATGGCCACTGTGAACAGGGGTTACGGTAGCACAGCAGCTGATTGGATGGCTGAAATCAGACTTTAACCACTGACGGGCAGGTAGTGTATACACAATAGATGGACTGGGCCAGGGGACAGATTCCACACATCCAGGTCACAGTAGAACAGGGTAACATGATTTTTTTTTTAACCCAATTTGGGTCTTTTTTTTTTTATTAGTTTTTTTTAAAAGCTTTATTTATTTATTGCAAAGTCAGATATACAGAGAGGAGGAGAGACAGAGAGGAAGATCTTCCGTCCACTGATTCACTCCCTAAGTGAGCACAACGGCCGATGCTATGCCGAGCCGAAGCCAGGATCCAGGAACTTCTTCTGGGTCTCCCACACAGGTGCAGGTTCCAAAGCTTTGGGCCGTCCTCGACTGCTTCCAGGCCACAAGTAGGGAGCTGGATGGGAAGTGGAGCTGCCGGAATTAGAACTGGTGCCCATATGGGATCCTGGCGCGTTCAAGGCGAGGACTTTAGCTACTAGGAGAGAAGGAGAGACATAAAGATCTTTTGTTGGTTGATTCACTTCCCAAGTGGCTGCAACGGCTGGAGCTGAGCTGATCCAAAACTAGGAGCCAGGAACTTCCTTGCGGGTCTCCCAAGTGGGTGCAAGGTCCCAAGGCTTTGTGCTGTCCTCGACTACTTTCTCAGGCCACAAGCAGGGAGCTGGATGGGAAGTGGAGCAGCTGGGACATGAACTGGCACCCACATAGGAACTTGGTGCTTGGTGCTAATGCCTGTTGAGCCACTATGCTGGCCCCCAGGGCAGCATGGTTTGTAGCCAGGGCTGACTACAGGAGGTGAGACCTCAGGTAATGCTGCCAGCTTGCTTTCTGAGGTGCCATCCAGTGGGGACTGAAAACAACAGAAATGTGCCCTCTCCGAGTCAGGAGGCCGTGTCGTCTGCTCTCTGGAGGGAAGGCCATGAGGACGCCCCATCTCAGGGCTTGCCCTGGCAGTTGGCATGGGTGTCTCAGCATTCCTTGGCTCCCATCTCACAGGCTGCCTGCATGCCAGGCCCCTAGTCTGTCTGAGTCACCACTGCTCTCGTACAGGATGCCTGGAGGGGCCGACCCGCTGCAGGAGGGATGACCTCATCAACCATAGCTGCTTAGGCCGGCAAAGACTAGTTCCCACATGGGCCCCATCCTGGGCCCCCGCTGGCTTCGCACTTGAACTCTGTTGTGGGGAGAGGATCTTCTTTTTTTTTTCAAAGATATTGGACTTGAAAAACAGAATTACAGAGAGAGGAAAGACAGAGAATCTTTGATTCACTAGTTCACTCCCCAAATGGCTGCAGCGGCCAGAGCTGAGCTGAGCTGAAACTCGGAGCTTCTTTTAGATCTTTCAGGTTGGTCCCAAGGCATCGGTCCAGGCCTGACTGCTTTCCCAGGTGCATTGGCTGGGAAGTGGATCGAAAGTGGAGCAGCCGGGACCTAAAGAGGGATGCTGGCATTGCAGGCAGTGGCTTAGCTTACCGCGTCCCAGAGCCAGCCCCGTTGGTGGTTTGTGTCCTGTCCATAGGCCCCACCATCGAACACGGCTTTCCCTGCGATTGTATGTATGCGGTTTTCATTCTCGTTGTTAGTCTAGACTGCTGTCCCTGAGACCATGCTGGGGGACGTCCTCTGCTGGTGTTTCAGAGCTCCAACCGGCTTGTTCCCCACTTTATCTCCAGGATCCACAGGATAGGGGCGGGACCATCGGAGGAGGGGCTGCAGGGTCCAGGAAAGGGATACGTGTGGCTCGCAGCCATCCATTGTCTGGGTCCCACTGGCCGGAAGCTGCTGCCCTGCCCCCATGGGCAGCCATGCCAAAAGGAAGCTGACACATGACCTCAGCAGGACCCAGGGCTCAGGCCCCTTCCTCCCCCCAGTGGTTGGGCAGAGCGACTCATCTCTGAAGTTGGAGTGGTGGGTTTTTCCAAGGCAGTTCCAGAAGCTTCTCCAGTGAGTCACCCTCTGCTGTTTCTGAATTAAATTAAAAACAAACAAAAAAATCAGGAATTCATCCTGGCAGATTGCTGAGAGCAGCAGTGGATGCCTAAGGTGCCCAGCCCCCCAAAGGAGTGTGACCCATGGGCCTGCCAGTTAGCCAGATGGTGAAAGCTGAGAGTGCCAGCTCAGAGGGGTCAGCCAGCCACCCACAAGCCTGCCACCCCCATCCTTGGGGACAGACACAGAGGGGCCACAAATGGACATCCTGCAGCTTCCAGGGACCCCGGCGTGAAGGCCAGATCCAGGGGTCTAGTGTATGTGGCAGAAGCCTTTGGGGCCCCAGGCAGAGCTATCCACCTGCCCAGAGAGCCAAGGAATGCTTCCCCTGGAGCGGCAGCCTAGGGAGGGGGGGGTTCCTTGGGGTGTGGTGCCAGGGCCCATTTGACACAGGATGGATACCATCTCACTGCCTTCCTCTATCCAGCAGTCTCCCCTTCTCGCCTCACCCAAACCCATCTCTCCTGGCACCTCACGGCCTGCCGAGACCCGTGACCAAGGCTTTGCACTCCTGTCCCTGCCTTCAGCCCCCTGCATCCTCTCCCCTCTTCAGCTTCCCCTGTGATTTTTTTTTTTCCAGGCAGCTCATCAAGGTGGCAGTTTAGCAGAACTGGGTCTTCAGGGCTCACCCTCCCCTGCAGAGGCTAACTTCAGGGTCATGCCCTTTAGCCACTTCCTAGCCTCCCCCTTCTCCAGCCCACAGTTTGGCCACCTGCCGGGTGACCTGACTCCAGTGGTACCTGGTGCTCACCCTGGTCCCCTCTCTAGTTCTCCAGTTCTGCTGTGTTCTACCAGGTTTACTTGTGGCACGGCATCCCCTTAGAGCAGATTCTTGGGGACTGCCCTGCCCTGCCCCAGTCAGCCTCCTCCAATATTGCTCTGCTTCTCCTGTCCGTCACTACAGCCCCCTTGCCTGCCTGCACCTCCCCGGACTGTGGTCCCCTCCGGATTGACCTTCAGCCCGCCAGCCATACTCGTGTTCAAGAGGTGTGGGAACCCAGTGGCCCCGTGAGCTGTACACAGCCACACCCCCTCCTAATTAAACACAGCTCTTATGTATAAGGTTGGTTGATGTGACAGGCAGGGAGAGGCCTTCCATCGCTGGTTCAATCCCCAAATGCCCATGACAGTCGAGAGTTGGGCCTGACTGAACCAGGAGCTCAAACTCCATGTGTCATTGGGCCATCATCTGCTGCCTCCCTTACGGGATCAGAAGCGGGGGAGCCGGTTCCCACCAGGCACCCCAACTTGGGACGTGGGTATTTCAAGCAATGGCTTCACTGTGCCTCCCCAACTCGAGTTTAGTTTTTGTTCTTCCAAGGCGCAACCCAGGTCCCATGCCCCCTTAGGGGAGCTGGAGACAGGCAGGCCAGACACAGGAGCATCCTGCCACACCGTTCTGGAGACAAACCCAGGGCCACAGGACCCGGCTCTCTGCTGGTCTGCAGACAGACTGCCCTGGGCCTGCAGCCCCATCCCAGGATGTCAGCTTCCGTTCCCATAGCCTCTTCCGTGTGCACGTGTGTCCACTTTTCCTGTGAGCTCATTCATCTCATTGGAATACCCTTCTCCACCCTGCTCCAGCATGACCTCATCCAAGTGAATTCTGCCTACAAGGATCCCACCCAGAGGCACCGAGAGTTAGGCCTTTGGCTGAGGAATTCTGGGCTGGGGTCCCTTTGGTGCACCCTCCCGCTGACTTCCTTGGTATAGGGAGCCCCGCGTGCAGCCTCAGCTTGGTAGTTAGGAAGGTTGGTGCCCAGCCACTACCAGGGCCACCAGGGCAAGGCCATAGCTCACGTCCCTACAGTGCCTCCTCCCCCAGCAGCCTCTGGCGTGTTGTGTGAATATCTCCCTGCAATGCCCCAAGGATAGAGGGCTGTCCTACTTGTAGTGGGCCCCTCAGCAGGGCATGGGAAGCCACAGCCCCTGTGGAGAAGACTCAGGGCTAGCAGGGAGGGGGTGTGCCTCGGTGGGGAACTGGGCCCCTGGCCTCACTTCTCATTTTCCAACCCCCCAGGAATGCTCCGCTGCCGCTTGCTGCATCCCTGACCCACGAGGCGCTTGCCCAGTTTCTTCAGACAGACCTTTCTGAATTTCAGAAGTTGCCCAGACAGCAAGAGGAAGAAGAAGAGGAGGAGGATGAGGAGGAAGAGCAGGAGAAGGCTGCTGTGACCTGTAAGTTTTATTTCCTCTCAGGTGACCCCACTGAAGGCTGCTTAGAAGGGCACCGAAGGAGTTGGCAGCAGAGCACCGGACCCCCGCAGGGTACTGCAGGTGCTGTGGGGAAGGGGAGGCCTCCAGAGCCATCGGCAGACACCGAGCCATTAAAACAAGGCAGCTTTTATTCTGCATGCCTTTGTTTTCCTGGTGATTCCTCTTCACTGTCTGTCACCTAAAGGTTGATTCCTGTTGGACCAAAATGGACAGGGAGAGTGGCAGACAGCAGCCCAGGCCCACCCAGCTGGAAATTTCTCTCTCCGGACAAAACCTCTCTGAATAAGTGGGCATCTTGGCCAATTTTCCCTTCCTCGGCTTCATTCCCTAGAATTAGCAGGTGTATTTGATGGGACAAGATGAGGGAAAGAAAAGGCTCCACAGAGCTTCCAACATTAGTGAGTGCTGGGCCCTTCCCTTCCTCCATTCCAGCGGTTGTCCCGTGTCAGGCAGCCATTGTTCCCGGCAGAGCCAGTCTGGTTTCCTGCCGGTAGCAGCTGCTGCCATTCCCAGGGTCACACAAAAGGAGAGCTCTCACTTCCCACTGCGCCCAGCCTGGCAGGGCTGGCTGGTGTGCAGCGACACCTGCTGGTGGGGATGGGGAAGTGCCAGCCTGGCACCAGAGCAGCCCTGCAGGCCTGGGAGGAAAGGAAGGAAGGGCTTGAGAGATGCTTGCACACAGGCCTGGGCTAGTGGCCCACACGGATCACGTCCTCCCTGCCGTGGGAACAAGAACACAGAAAAATAGGTAGGGGGATAAAGTCTCTGGTCTCTGAAGCCATTCTTGCCCAAACCACATAGGACGGGCACTATGAGAGTCGCCGCCGCCAGAGGGCAGAGAAATGCCTGCAGCCTCTGGGTGGCCAGCTGCCAGCACCTCCTGGGTGATAGTTATCATCATGGAGCTCCAGGAGCCGGCAGCCAGAACTGCATGGGGAGTCTGCGGCCTGTTCAGGTCAAAACACGCCACCGATGGAAAACAACAGCACAGCCTCGGGTCAGGGAGCAGGCTGGGGCGCCTCCCTGCATTCTTGGGGCGAGCGGGCGAAGGGGTGAGGGATAGGATGAGGATTAGAAGGTACCTGTGTTTGCAAAGGTTGGTGGGGAACCTGGGTCTAGTGCACATGGAGCCACCTGTTCAGAGCTGGCCCCTTCCACGTCGGTCGCAGGCCCCCTCTGTAATCCCAGCCCCCCGCCAGCTCTGTGGCCCCTTCTGTGACCTCAGCTGTCTAGCTCCAGGCCTGCCCGTCACCCAGTTCTTGCCAAATGCCGGCCTGGATCCCTGTGCTGGGTGTGGCGGCGGTAGCCTCATCGGTGCCTGCACCCTTTCCTGGACTCAGGCTCCCCAAGGCCTCTGTGCTCCCAGGCCCGTGCCAGCTCATACCTCTCTCTTCCACTCTGGCCTTGGACCGTCTCCCTTTGTGTCACAGCCACCAGCCCCAGCCAGGATCTCTTCCTTCTCCCACATCCCCTGTCGCTTGGTGTGACCCGTGAGCCCGAGAATCTGCCCTGAGTGTTGTTGCTTCCTCTTGACTGCCACTCCTAGGTGAGCAGCCCAGGCCTGCCTGCACTCAGACCAGCAGGAGTCCCAAGAGGGCTTTGCGTGTGGCAGTGCAGTCCTTGAAGGCAGCATCCCGGAGATGTCCTTTGAGCCTGCCCTCCCCCACTTTTTTTTTAAGATTTACTTACTTGAAAGGCAGAGTTACAGAGAGCTAAGACAATACCAGAACCGAGATCTTCACAACATCAGGATACAGAGCTGTGCCCTCAGCACAGACGCGCCCCACGTTCCCCTCCTGCTACCACCGCAGCACTCCCCACGCCACCCCTTACACTGTTTTGTAACCATTGGCAGCTGCCAGTCTCCTCCATTGCCAGAATTGTGTCACTTCAAAAATGTATACTAGGGGCCGGCGCGGTGGCCTAGCGGCTAAAGTCCTTGCCTTGAACGCTCTAGGATCCCATATGGGCACCGGTTTTAATCCCGGCACTTCCACTTCCCATCCAGCTTCCTGCTTGTGGCCTGGGAGCCAGGAACTTCCTCCAGGTCTCCCACACATGTGCAGGGTCCCAAGGCTTTGGGCCGCCCTCCACTGCTTTCCCAGGCCACAAGCAGGGAGCTGGATGGGAAGTGAAGCAGTCAGGATATGAACCAGAATCCATATGTGATCCCGGCACATGCAAGGAGAGGAATTTAGCCACTAGGCTATTGTACCGGGCCTGAAAGTAAAATTTTTTAATAGCAGCTTAGTTCTTTGTTGAGAAAATGATCATCATTAGTGATTTATCTTTGGATGAGCAGTTGTGAAGGATTCTGGGATTTGCTGTTAAATTTCCTTTGTAGATAATTTTGTGGAAGATGTGTCCCCATGAGTGAACTCACTCAGTTATAGGAAAGGAGATTGGGCGATAACTTGGCCAGTCAGATATTTCTGGTTATTGACAGCAGGCTGTCAGGTGTGGTTAGCCAGGACAGGTAGCTGGCAGAGGGGCTAATGCCGGGGGCAGTGGGCAGGATGCCCGGTGACTTGGTAGCTACTTCCCCTAACAGTTCCTCCATCGCCCAACAGTGCTAGATGCCAAAGGCCTGGCCCGAAGCTTCTTCAACACGCTCTGGGCAGTCTGCAGCCAGTGGCAGAAGCAGGTGCCACCAACTGCTCGGCTGCCACAGCGGCAGTGGCTGGTCTCCATCCACGCAATCCGTAACACTCGCCGCAAGATGGAGGACCGGCACGTGTCCCTCCCTGCCTTCAACCAGCTCTTTGGTTTGTCGGTGAGTATTCCACTGGCTGGGGGCCAGGGCCGCTGGCCACGGCTGGGACAGGAAGAGATTTGACCGTGGCTGTCAAGCACCTCCCGGTGTCTGTGGACCCCAGGCAGCTACCTGCTACCAGCTTACCTTCCTCACAAAAGAATGAGGAAAGGCTACGGTTGTGGTCTCAGTCTGTGACAAGAGGAGACCCCCAGGTACCACAGTCCTGCAGGCTCCAATTGCTAAATCCTGCTCGATCTCCAGAACACGGGGCCACTTGGGGCCTCTCTCACACCTTGTTTTATGCTCGTAGTGGCTCGGGTGGGCCAAGGCTCCTGAGGATTGGCCTTCTAACATCCATCCTCTTAGGTGTCCTCTGCACTGGCAAGGGCCCACTGATTCCTCCAACCCAAAGCTGTGTCTCCTGGTGTTGTGGAAGTGCGTCTGAGACTGGGTGATGGATGTGTGTCGGGGATTTCTCCCAGTGCTGGCTGCTGGGTGCCTGTGACAACGGATGACATCTCGTGAGGGTCACAGGGCTGACCCGTGACAAGAGCAATAAAGCTGCCAGAGAGAGAAAGCTCTAGAGCAAAACCACTCCCTCTGACCCATCCTTCCCCAAATGGGCCCCTGACGATCCTTCTTCCGAATAGCCTTAACCTTGGGGGCTTAAGGTGTGAGTTCCAGCTGACAAACACCCAGAGCCCAGCATTGTCACCGTCCCAGGCAACAGCTGCTGGCTGGGGGAGAACAGGACGAGGTGGGGAGGTGAGGGAGGCAGATAGCCAGCCCCTGACAGATGCAAGGCCAACAGCAGCCCGTGATTCCCACTGCATCCCCCCCACCAGGATGCTGTGGAGCGTGCCTACTTCGCCGTGTTTGACGGACATGGTGGCGTGGATGCCGCGAGGTACGCTGCCGTCCACGTGCACGCCAATGCTGCCCGCCGACGGGAGCTGTCCACAGACCCAGCCAGAGCCCTGCGGGAAGCCTTCCGATGCACCGATGAGATGTTTCTCTGGAAAGCTAAGCGAGAGGTGAGAATCTGGAACAGGTGCTGGGCACAGCTGGAGGAGGGTCCAGCCTCCACAGAGGTGGGCAGTGGTGCCAGAAATGGCTGTTGCACACTGGGACTCCTCACCCCTGCCCAGAGTGCTGGGGCCACCTAGGGAAGGGCAGCTTTGCGGACGGAGGTCCCCAGCACCGTGTCTTGGTGAGAACTGATAAGAAAGGGTGACAGGGGGACAAAGGCCTTGGCGGAAGAAGAGTTTGCTGCTGACAGTTCCCCAAGGATGGGGCACACGGAGGCCACCAAGGACAGCACCCAGGGCAGCAAGGAGGGCACAGGCCACGGAGCTGGCGCTGTCTATGACTTCTGGAAAGGCCACAAGCAGGTGAGCCTCAGCCCACTCCACAGTGGGTGGGTTCAAGAACCTCAATGGGCCCTGAGCCACAGGTGCAGTGAAACCTTGGCCTACCTGTGAAGGATAGAGGAATGTCCAAGGCTTGAACTCCACGCGGCTTGCCAGCTGCCCCGGGAAAGGTCCACCCTTGGGGTGGCATTGGCCCTGGACCTGGGAGACCAGCAAGGACCTGCAAGGCCAGAAGCTGTCAAAACAAGAGCAGCTGCAGGACAATTTGAAAAATAAAAAAACATCACTGACACGATCACCCACCTCCCCTTGCTGTTCGGGGCACAGTCCCCACAGGCTGCCCTTCACCCAAGGCTCCTGGCAGCCCTCGGAGGTGGCCGCTCGGCACTGGACATTCTGCACACTGGGGAACTGGGGCTCAGTTCGCAGGTGAGGAGATGCCCGGACAGAGACATGGCACCGTTACCTCCTCTGAGCACAGAGCATTATGGGGACCAGCAGAGATGGCCTCTGCATCCGGTCAGGAACCTGTCCGTCCAGCACCTGGAGGTGACGCCCCTCCCTGCCAGGCCCCTGTATCACCCCAAGACATGAGAAAGGCCCTTGGGCTCAGGGCTGCCCCTGGCGGGTAGAGAGAGGATTCTTTGAAGCAGGTGTACGACTGAGTTTATCCCTTTCTCCTTATAGTTTTTTACCCCCCCTTTAATCAATTATTTATTTGAAAGAGCTATAGAGAAGAGTTTGCCGTACACTGTTCACTCCCCAAATGGCTGCAGCCACTAGGATTGGACTAGGTTGAAGGCAGGAGCCTGGAGTTTCCTCTGAGTCTCCTACATGGATGGTAGGCATTCAGGGATATGGGTCATCTTTCACTGCCTTCCCAGGCTCACTGAAGAGCTAGATCAGAAGCAGAGCAGCCCAAGTTTTGAACTGGCACCCATACAGGATGCTGTCATCCCTGGCAGAGGCTCGGTGTGCCACACCACAGTGCTGTCTCCTCTGGAGTTTTTTTTTTTTTTTTTAAGATTTCATTGTATTTGAAAGAATTATGAAGAGAGGGAGGGAGAGAGATCTTCCATCTGCTGGTTCACTCCCCAAAATGGCCACAATGATCCAGGCTAAAGTCAGGAGCCAGGAGCTTCTTCTGAATCTCCCATGTGAGTGCAAGGATCCATGGACTCGAACCATCTTCTTCTGCTGTCTTAGGTACATTAGCAGGGAGCTGAATTGGAAGTAAGGCAGCTGGGACTCAAACTGGTACCCCTGTGGTGGTGGCTTAACCCTCGCTGCCACAGTGCCAGTCCCCTTGCAGGGTGTGACACAAAGGGGCTCCTGCAGGGTGCAGCCTTTCACACTGCATTGCTTTGATGTATGTTCCCCTGCCCTTCCCATATGCCACATGGGTCCTGGCAGCCCCGTGCTGCCTGAGGTCTTCACCTGGTGTGGAGGGCTGCCTCACACCACATGGTCCTTTGTCTGCAGCGGCTGCAGAGCGGCTCCACCGGCGTGTGTGCACTCATCGCGGGCACGACGCTGCATGTGGCCTGGCTTGGGGACTCCCAGGTGCTCCTGGTGCAGCAAGGGCAGGTGGTGAAGCTGATGGAACCGCACAAGCCCGAGCGAGAGGTAAGCTTGTGATCTCCCAGGCCCAAGAACACCGTGGATCATGGTGATGCAGGCCCAAGCTGGGTGGGAGAGGGGAGGAGAGCAGGGAGAGCTGGGCGCTCTGCCCTGACTGGTGGCTGAAGCACTGGTGGAGGACACACACACACACACACACACACACACACAGAGTGGCTCGTCTGAGCGTGGATGGACACACGCATGGAGTGGCTGATCTGAGCGTGGATGGACACACATGGAGTGGCTGATCTGAGTGTGGATGGACACACACACACACACACACAATGGCTGATCTGAGTGTGGGTCATGGACCCAGAGCTGTGGCCACAGGGGTCTGGAGGAGCCTGTCTCTGTGCAGCAGAGGCCACTCTGGGACTGTGAGGTCACACCTGGGTTTGCAACTCAGGTTCCTCACCTAGATACGAGGATGGCATTCCTATTTGGGCCACCTTGGTCCAGTCTACTGTGTCTGCTCCAGCATCAAGAGGGGCCCTGTTCCAAATCCTGATGGAGTCCTGTGTGCTGGCGCTATGGCCAAGAGCAGAGACTGGGGGCCTCGCCACCCACACCCTTGCAAGCTCTAGGTCTCTGGCCATCAAATGAGGCCCATGAGGTTGGGGTACGGTTGGGAGAGCCCTGTGCTTGTGGAATGCTGAGGTCGGTGCCTGCGCAAGAGAGCCACATGCGAGTGTTGTGTGTTAGTGGCTCACACTGGTGCAGAGGCTACACTCTGCCCCTGCCAGCCCCTCTTCCAGGCCCTGCTGGCCCCACCAGCCCGTCTGTCCCTTGCCCTGGCATACTGAGCACAGCCTGGCATCCTCCCTGAGAGAGGAAAGTGAGGTCTGAGCAAAGACTCCCCAACAAGCACAGGCCCTGCCACGTCTGTTCTGACAGCTTCAGTGGGGTCCGTATTGTCCTGTTTCTCACGGCAGCTGGGGGTGCAGCACGCACTCGGGGACAGGGTGCTGAGCTAGCCACATCCTAAATTAGGACCCAACCCCCACCTCCCAGCAATTTTCTGTTCTCAGCGTGGTGGCAGAGCAAGGTGGCTAGTGGGTTGCAGGGTGTGGGAGGTGTGCTAGAGACGCTACGACAGACAGGGATGGATGGGAACGAGGCTCAGAGCCCACTCCAGAAGGCAGGAATGAGCTCAGCAGGCCAGGGTAGAGGGCAAGCATAGAGCCCTAGGGAAGAGGGCAGATTGAACAAGCCCTGACCTTCTGCCCCTATGGCAGGAGGAACTAGAGCTGCCTTGGACCAGGAGGACCTCCCCTAAGAAAGCTCTAGAAGTTTCTAAAAGGATTTCCTAGAAGGCTGGGTGGTAAAAAGTAGGCAGGGAGGGGAGGGGCCAGTAAAGATCCTCAATTCCAGAGTGACCCGGAACTGAACTTAGGGCTGTCCATGGAGGCAGTCTGGCCATGCAGAAGGCAGTGCTGGGGTTGTCCACTGAAGCTGGTGCTGGAGGGGTGGTGGCGCTGGGCAGCGCAGGGCAGGGCACTGGCAGTGGCTAATCTGGGAGAAATTCTTCCAGGTAGGGGAGGACGATGAAGGGGTGAAAGTAAAGGAGACAGGAGGTGACACACCAATCGTGGGGATGGGGTGAGGCCCCCATGACTGGTGCACGCACACTCTGGGAGCAACACAGGGAGAGCAGGAATGCCCCGCTCCACCCTGGCACAGGACCAGGGCAGAGGACGAGACCTGACGAAGCAATCCAGCTTCAGGGCCACTGCTGTAGGTTCTGGGGCTGGACAGCCTACATGGGTGAGGTGCACCTGGCTAGCCGTCTGCAGGGCCTCCACACTATGCGGTCGTCTGAGACTGCAGCTGAGCCCCGTCCCCATGGCTGTCTGTCTAGGGGCTTTCAGAAGGGCGGCTCTGCAACTTGGCACGTTCAAGTGCCCTTATTTGGTGTCCCCCTGAGGGAGACCCCACGCTTCCCAGGGCAAGAGTTGATGGGAGAGACAGATGGAGACAGGCTCGTGATAACCCACAGCCCCCAGTGAAGCCCCTAGAAAGAGACCCCTTAAGGAGGTTGGGGTTACTTCCAGCTGAAGTCTTTCATTGATCTGCTGGCCTCCAGTGTCTGCCCCCTGTGTGTGTGGGCATGCTCGAGTGTGAGCATGTGTGTGCAGTGTGTATGACCATGCCTGTGTGTGAACACATGTGAGCAGTGTGTGAACATGCCAGAGCATGAGCATGAGCATGCATGTGCAGTGTGAACATACCTGTGTGAGCAATGTGTGTGGACATGCCCGTGTGTGAGCCAGTGTGTGTGGACATGCCCGTGTGTGAGCCAGTGTGTGTGGACATGCCCGTGTGTGAGCGTGTGTATGTAAACATGCCTGAGTGTGACATGTGTGTGACATGTGTGTGCAGGGAAGCGCACACTCAGGAGGCTCAGCCGAGGACCCTGGCAGCGCCCAGCATCTCCAGGACAGCCTGGTCGCTGGAGCGCCAGAGCCCTCACACCTGGCTGCTGTCGGTCCTAAGCACACTGGGCCAAGGGTGAAACTGGAGGGTGGGGTTGCCCAGACAGGTGACCTGGGGGGTGTGAAGAAGTGGGGTGCAGCACCCCCAGTTCTCCAGGCACGGGTTCCCATGCAGCGAGCTATAGGACCAGATAGGTTTCTCTTTTGTTTTCTTTCTTTCCTTTTTTTTTTTCTAACAATTTATTATTTATCTTAAAAAACAGAGACAGAGGGTGGTGGGAAAAGGGAGAGATCTTCCCTCTCTTCTCCCACTTGGGTGTCAGGGCCAAAGGGCCTAACTCATCTGTTGCCTCCCAGGCTGTATGAGCAAGGAGCTGGATCAGAAGCTGAGTAGCAGGGACTCCAGCCAGTGTGCTGATACAGGATACCAGCCTGGCAGGCAGTGGCTTAACCTGCCATGCCACAATGTTGGCCTCCATAAAGACCACACATGTCATACATTTTTTTTTTTAATTGGAAAATCAGATTTATAGAGAGACAGAAAGATCTTCCATCTACTCATTCACTCCTCAGGTGGCTGCAGCAGCCAGAGTTGAGCTGATCAGGAGCCAGGAGCTCCTTCTGGGTCTCCCATGTGGGTACAGGGGTCCAAGTGTTTGGGCTGTCCTTGACTGCTTTCCCAGGCCACAAGCAGGGAACTGGATGGGAAGTGAGGCTCCTGGGACACTCACTGGCACCCATATGGGATCCCAGTGCATGGCAAGGTGAGGACTTTAGCCACTAGGTTACCATGCCAGGCCCCCAGTAACTTTTTTAAAGATATGCAGAGAGAGGTCTCCGCTGTTGTACCCCCCAAGATGGCCACAACAGCTGGTAATGAGCCAAATCCAGGAGCTCCCACAAGTGTGCAGGGGCCCAAGGATTTGGGCCGTCCTCCGCTGCTTTTCCAGGCCACAAGCAGGGAGCTGGATGGGAAGTGGAACAGCTGGAACACAATGCAGCATCCGTGGGAGATCTTGGCACATGCAAGATGAAGGACTTTAGTCACTAAGTTACTGCACCCACCTCCATCCCAGTAACTTTCAGGGTAGGGGCTGTCCTCCCCGAGAGTGACGAGGGAGCCACAGAGCGCCCCACCTGAGTGCATGGCTCCGCTCCTTCTGCTCAGGGACCCACGCATCACCTGGTAGTCCTAGGCCATCCATTGAGGCTCACACCACCATTTTCTTTGGCCACGCCTACAACACCTGACCAGATACTTGGATTATTCCCATCCTCTCACCCTGTGGGACGAGACCCGACTCTGGTGTGTCTCGGAATCTGCTGGTGCTTGAAGTCCAGCCCAGCAGCCAGCACAGCCTCTCCATCGTCAGGTTTCCCCGGCCTCTGACCCTGGTCCTCTCCCCCTCCCCCCCCGCCACAGGACGAGAGGGCACGCATCGAAGCGCTGGGTGGCTTCGTGTCACACATGGACTGCTGGAGAGTCAATGGGACACTGGCTGTCTCCAGGGCCATCGGTGAGCAGGGTACAGGATGGTCAGGGGTCGGGCGAGGGCGACCTCAGCCCTCAGGTGAGTGGTGCAGGGAGGTGGGGTGTGCAGAATGTCAAAAAGGGCTCCTCCACTGTCCCACTTTCCTGACACCCCTGGGTCTCGGCCTGAAAGCTCAGCACCTGCACCCTTCTCCTCTGCAGGGGGTCCCAAGCTGTTCCTTCCCTGGTTAATTCCTGGGACATGGGGCACCTGCACCCCACCCTCCTGAGATGCCGCGTATTCCTTGGCCAGTGCTGTACCTGCCCCACAACCCCCTCTGCCACCATTGCCATTGCAAGGGCTGCAGCAGGGCAGGGAGGTAGGCAGGGCCAGCACGGAACACTTGTAGAAGGGAGTGGCATCAGGATGGTGACCACGAGGGAGGCCCTGGGCCCAGGCAGGTGGGGCAGCAACAATGGACTGCCCAGCCCTCTGACAGCCGGCCCTTGTGTCCCATGCCCAGGGGATGTCTTCCAGAAGCCCTATGTGTCTGGAGAGGCAGACGCAGCCTCCCGGGAGCTGACGGGCTCCGAGGACTACCTGGTGCTCGCCTGCGACGGCTTCTTCGACGTCGTCCCCCACCAGGAAGTCGCTGGCCTCGTCCAGGGCCACTTGGTCAGGCAACAGGGCAGCGGGCTGCACGTGGCCGAGGAGCTAGTAGCTGCTGCCCGGGATCGGGGCTCCCACGACAACATCACGGTCATGGTGGTCTTCCTCAGGGACCCCCTCGAGCTGCTGGAGGGTGGGGCCTCTCAGGCCGACGGAAGCCAGGACTCACCCGAGCCCAGCACACTACAGCGAAGCTAGGTGTGATCCGTGCCCCAACCCCCCTGGCCCGCCACCCTCCCCGATCCTTGTGATTGTCCCCCGTCCCCACCCCAGAGGCCTTAGGAACCCACAGGTGGCATTGAACAGGAGGTGCCTGCCTGCAGTGTTCTCCCCACCCCCTGCACTTGGGATGTTTGCTTCAGCCTGTGCTGATGGCAGGCAGGTGGAGGCAGCCCAGGAAGCTGGCTACCTCCTCGGGCCCAGCTCCCCCAGGTGCCTAGGCAGCCAGCAGCAGCCAGACCGCAGGTGGGTGTGGCACTGGAACCCTAGGGTCAGGCTGGAGTGGGGGTGGAGGGATGCAGTGCCTCGGGACTGTGGCTACTGCTGGGGAGGGGCTCGTCTGAGCTGTGCCAGCGGGTCCTGGGTGGCCATGCCAGCTCCCCCAAGGGGGAGAGCAGCGAGCAGCTTCCAGTGGAGAGAAGGCATGCTGGGTGTAGCTGCGGTGGCCATGCCGCCTGCTTGCTCCACAGCCACCCGTGAGGTGCCAGGCCTTCCTGGGGAGCATGAAGCTGGAAACCTACGAAGATATAATGTCTTTGGTTTGGGTTTCTTTTTTTTCTCTCTCTCTGCCCTCTCCAGGGAAGCATCTCATTTAGAAGCAGTATTTCAGGTTTCATCCATATTTTCTCAGTGCCAACGTTACCCTGTTGTGTCATATAATTTAAGCAGAGTTTTTAGCTTTTATTTTTATTCCTTAGAAAACTTAAGTATGAACTTTAAAAAAAAAATTGTTTTTGGCAGTATTACTGAACGGTTCAGGATTGACATAGACTTTTTCCAGGGGGTGTTAATGAGCCACTCAAGTGCCTTACACAGCCTCAAGGGGACTGGCACAGCTGTGGGCACGGTCCCTACTGTAGCCGTATTTGTGTCAATAGGGGGGCCTGGTTTGGGTTAGAGACCTTTGGGCTAGGTGGCTCTTTGTCAGGAGCCTTGTGAAGAGGAGTGACAGGCACCACGAGGCCATGGCCTCTGCTCACCCATCCAGGGGACCTGGCTGCTGTGAGTCAGGAGGGTCCCAGAGTGGCTTGTGTGCTTGTAATCCCGCTGGCATCATTAATTCAAGAGGCCCTGGTAAACCCAGCAGCCGCCTGCCTCAGTTGGTCAGGAAGTGTCAAGGGGACAGACCATACTCCTGCTCCTGCCCTGGCAGCTGGCAGAGGCCGCCCGTGCCCCTGCCCTTCCCTGCCCTGCTGCCATGGGAGCCTGCTGTCCCTGAGGTTCACAAGTGACAGTCCTCAGATGCCTTGGAGCTCACAGGTGCTACAAGTGGCAATGCTGAACAGGTGAGGTTGGGAGAAGGCAGAATTAAGGAGCAGGGCCTTGAGTGGCATAGCTGATAGAGAGGCTGGCAGTGCAGGGAAGGTGTGGCCGCGAAGCCCCCTGGAAGCCAGCAGGGAGCACCTGCAGGCAGTGAATTCACACAAGGGCAGGGGCTTAGGAGCCCAGCCCTCCCTGCAGGGTCAAAGCTGCCATCAAAGGCATGTGATGCTCACCGCAGGCCCCACAGCAGGGATGCAGGCTGGTGCCCAGTGCTTGGCTCCGTGTCTCCTGGTGGAAAGTATCTTCCGTTCAGAAGACGGTTGGCCACCCATGAAGACCAACCTAAGGACCCTGCTGCCTCCTGGAAGCCAGGGCAGGGGGAAGCACAGGGACTCCCCACTCGCTTGCCACGCCTAGCTGGGGCATGGCTTGTCAGAGAAGAAGCTGTGGGCTCCTGTTTTTTCTTTTGCTAATAACCTTTTCCTGTTTGATGCTGTCAGGAGTTTGGGTCACTGAGACTGGATTTGTACCTTCCTGGGCTTTGCCAGGAAAGCTGCCAGTGGCCTTGCTCCCCACAGCCAGCTGGCCAGCCTCTGTGGCAAAGCCGGAAAGCTCCTCGCCCCCCAGCCAGGGATGCTGCTCTGGAATATTCTGAATCCCTTCTCGAACTGGCTCATTTGAGAGCTGAGCAAGTTTTCTCGCTGGGTCTCAGTTTCCCTTTGGTGAGGCCTGCAGTGGTTGGGGTGGGAGGAGCACCTGTGGTATCCCCCCAAGTCTGCTGGGATTCAGGAGTTACACATTCCCTGTGAACCGGGCACTGTCAAAGGGGGGAGGGGGCGGTGCCAGTGTGGTGGGCCCTCCCCCACCGCCCAGGGGGAGGGTTTATAAAGTATTAACGTCCATTCTGAAAAGGAAGTGAATTGGAAGAGAACAGAGCTGCAGATCGCAGGCGCCTTCTGTGGCACACAGAACCCAGAGCAGTTAAACCCCGCCCCCGCCATTGCAGGTACTCCGGCTGCAGACCCCAAACCTCTAGAACAGCTCCCAGGGAAGGCAAGACGGGGTCAACCTCACCCCAGGAATCCCACAGTCAGACCTGGCCCTCAGGACCCAGGATAGCAAGTGGGTGTCTCAAGGGAAGGGACAAAGTCTGGGAGAAGGCCAGCAGGGTGTGAGGTCCCCTGGGAGTGATGCCAAGCCCCTGCCCTTGTTTCCTCCTGCCTCCCCTCCCCCATTTACAGTGTGCCCCGGCTACCTCAGCAGTGTTCTCAGGGCTGACAGGACAGCCCTGACCATTCCTGAGCCTGGATCCCCAGCCCTGGGAGTTCCCAGGGCAGCCTAACTCAAATAAGCTTTTTTTTTTTTTTTCTCCTTCTGATATATTCCTGCTGCCTCTCGCCCCAATGGGGGAAGCGCCCGTAGCCCTGTGCCGCCCACCAAGGCTCCTACAGCTTTGCCAAATGTGCCCAGCTTTGCCATTCTTATACCCGCCACCAGCCTTGCCAAGGGTTTATGGGCACGCATCCGAGGGGGTCTCCTGTGAGGTGCGGTGGGGAAGTCATGCCCCGTGTCCCCCACTCCAGGGTAGAAGGGCCCTCCGTGCCCAGGTGCCAATAAACCACAAGTTCTAAACCCTGGTGCCCAGGTTCTGCTCTCTCCTCACTGGCCCTTGGGTGTCTTGCCTCCACCGTGTGTCCATCCAGGGTCCTGGGGGGGCTCATCTGCCATTGGGAAGTGTCCCCTTTCCCCCAGCCAAGCTTGTTGTCTCAGCAGAGGCTCCAAGAAGCGAGAGGGTGCTGGGAGGCCCCCCAACCATGAGAACCTGTGTGACATTGGGGTGCCCCACGAGCCACCAGCACCCCTGTGCTGAGGGTGCAACCGCACCCCTGGAATGCCTGGGTCCTTTCTCCCAGTGCTGGGGCCCAGCCACAGCAGGACCTCCCCTGTGGAGTTGCCCTGCAGATGTGGGGTGCACCGTGGGGAGCCATGGAGTCCCACTGAGTCTTCACCTGCTGGCTCTTCCTGAGGGCCAAGATTTTGGGAGAATCTCTTCACTTCTTCATGCAACGTTCCACTTTAAGGTGTGTAAGTCCTCGGTGTTTTAAGCTGATAACCAGGCTTTAGAGATGGCAATCACAGGAAGCCCGGAACAGAAGGGGTGGGGAGGTGAGTGGGGAGGCCAAGGCCTAGGGTTTGACAGAGAACTGACAAGTGTTGGGAGCCCTGAGCAAGCTGCCAGGAGGGCAGCCCAGTGGCTTTGCATAGAGGGCAGGGGGAGGAAGGGCCAGGCCTGGGTGCCTGTGTGGGAGGTGGATGGGTTCACTGTTGGAATGAGGTTCACATTCCTGTTGAAAGAAGGACTGGGGGGCAGCTCTGTGGTCTCTGCATCCGAGGGTCTTTGCTGGAGCTGCCTGCCACCTGCAGGCCCCACCTGCTGCCTGTCTGCCTGCTCCAGACCTGTGTGGACCCCCCACCCCGCCCCTCATGACCAGCAGCAAGGCACTTCCTTGTGCCATACTTCCTTGCACAGCTTCTGCCGGGGCAGAGACCCAGGAGGGCAGCGCCCTCACTCCTCCTTCCCTCCCCTGCACCGCCCTGCAAGGCCTGCAGCCGAGTCCCATTGGGTTCAGGCTGGATCGCCTGTTCCCAGCATGTTGTCTCACTTCTCCACAGCCAGATGGTCGCTTCTCACTGTCCCCTGTCCCACTGCCATGCAGCAGGGAACCTGGACAGTATCCTGTCTGGGCAGAAGGTGGCACAGCTGTGGGACCAGCCCACTGCCATGGCAGGTAGAGGTCAAGTGCAGGATGAGGGCACCTGAGCCATTCTCCGCTGGGAAGAGGACAAGTCCTCCCTCCACTTCCCAGACCTCACCCACCTGCTGTGGCATGGCCACGCAGATGCAAGGAAAAGGGGTTTGCTGACCTCACAGTGCTGAAGTGAGTGAGGGTGGTCGGACATCATGTGACAAGATGCAGCAGGTTCCAGGATTCAGTGAGGGGGCTCCAAGGACACCCCCAATCCATCCAAATCACCTTTCCTAGAGGCTCGTCCACTTTCCACTGGGTATTTCCCTGATCGTCTAGTATTGGGGCCCTGCCACCTATGTGTAAGACCTGGGGAAGCTCCTGGCTCCAGCCCTGGACAGCCCCTCCCTGCCTGTCCATTGTGGCTGTCTGAGGAGCAAACTATTGGATGGAAGATCTCTCCCTTTCTCTTCTCTCTCCTCATTTTTCTTTCTCTCCCACACCTTGCTGTAACTATGACTTTCAAATTAAAAGGTCTTAAGTTTATAAATATTGAGTGATTGGATATGATCTGTGCTTCTAAGTGATAGAAGTAATAGCACAGGGCATGCATGGTGGCACAGCACTCTAACCCTGCATGTGCATCACCAGCAGCCCATGTTCACGCTGTTCCTAGTCACTGCTGGTCCATTGCTGATTGAGCTCCTTGCTCTTCACCAGGGGAAGCAAATGAGGATGGGCCAAGGCCTAGGGCTCCTGACATGAAGAAGTTCCTGGCTCCCAGCTGTAGCTCAGCTGTAGGCACTGAGGCCGTTTAGGGACTGAACCGGTGGCTGGAAAAATTTCTGTCTTTCTCTCTTAAAAAAAAAAATCTGTGAAGTGAAAAATGAATAGGGGTGTCCACTATGGGCCCTGGATTGTGTTCCAGTTGTCCACCTCCCATCCAGCTCCCTGCTTGTGGCCTGGGAAAGCAGTGGAGGACGGCCCAAAGCCTTGGGACCCTGCACCTGCGAGGGAGACCTGGAAGAAGGTTCTGGTTCCTGGCTCTGGATCAGCTCGGCTCCAGCCATTGCAGCCATTTGGGGGAAAGAACCAGAAGATGGGAAAATCTGCTCTATCTGTAAATCTGCCCTTCCAATAAACATAAGTAAATTTTTAAATAAATAAAAATTAAAATTTGACTAAGAGAAGAGAAAAACAAGATTTAATTTCAGCCATGAGAAAAAAGAATACTCCAGGTGAGTGTTACACCAACAGGTATCTAAAATGAAAGCTTGTTGAGGACTGTGTAATGGGCACGAATGAAGACACTGCTTGGGATGCCCACATCTCGTGCTAAGTGCCTGGTTTGTGATTGTTGCAGTTGTCATGTTGTCACATTTCGGGGTGGTTTAGCGGGCAAGGGATGACTGCCCAGTAGTTAGGATGTCAGTTAAGGCAACAGTATCCCACGCCTAGCAACTGGATTCTATTGCCAACACCAACTCCCGACTGTGACATGATGGGTCATGGAGTTGTTATTGCCACCCCCATGGGAAACTGGGATTGCATTGCTGGCTTTTGGTCTAGCCCCAGCCCCAACCAGTGTGGGCATTTGGGAGCCAATCAGCAGATGGGAACATTTTTTTTGTCTCCTTCCCTGTCTCATTCACAGATACATAAAGTGGATCAGGAAAGCATTGCCATAACGTCCACATAAAATACAGAATTTTGAAAAGTTTATGGAATAGTGTATATTATGAAAAACTAGATTTCTAATTTTTTGTGTGTATGTGTATTTGAAAGGCAGAGTAAGAGAGAGAGGGAAGGAGAGATCTGCTGTGCACTGGTTCACTCCCCCAGTGGTCACAGTAACCAGGTCTGGGCCAGGCTGAAGCCTTGAGCCAGGTACTCCACCAGGGTAAAGGTCCCCACCAGGTGGAAGGGTCGACTCCATCTGTACACTCATCCAGCTAGAGGATGGCCCAAAGCTTTGGGACCCTGCACCCACATGGGAGACCCAGAAGAGACTCCTGGCTCCAAACTTCAGATCAGCTTAGCTTGGGCTGTTGTGGCCATTTGAGGAGTAAATTAGCGGACAGAAGATTTTCCTCTTTGTCTCTCCTCCTCTCTGTATATCTAAATTTCCAATAAAAATAAATAAGGGGGAAAAAAAGCTGGCAGATCCACTGCAGGGAAGATGCTCTGGCAGTGGGATCTTCAGTTGGTGAACATCGCCACCTGCTGGGCACGGCAGACCACAGCAGGGAGAGTTTCCTCAGCTCAGCCTCCCCTTGCCTGGACAAACCAAGTGACCGCCCCATCCCTGAGGCGATTCGGATTGGCTGTGTCATCTGGGACGTGCTTTTACTGACAAGGCAAATCGGCCAATCAGAAGAGCTAGTGTAATGCTGTACAATCCCGTGGGATCTTCTTTTTCCTCGTGGTCACCCTCATTTCCTGAGGTCCGGCCGCCGGCGAGTGTTCTAGAACGCCCACGCCGAGGGAGCCCTGAGCAGTTCCCCGGCCGCGCTGCAGTCCGACGGCGGTGAGTGTGTGTGTGGAGAGTCCCCTGCGGCCGGGAGGGCGCCGGCTGAGGGCAGAGTGCTGTGCGGGCAGCTGTGTGCGTGCGGTGCGTGTCCGCTCCGCCGGCGCGGGGAGGTTGGCGTGGCGGCGGGGCTTCCTGTGCGGTGTTCCTGCTGGGGAAGCTGTGCGCTCTGGGTGCTCTGCGCCTCGGTTCCCGCAGGTGCAGGCGTGGCTGCGTCGGGCTGGGCCACGGGGCTCCCCAGGCAGCGCTCCCGGCACGGCGTGTCCGTGTGTGTGTGTGTGTGTGTCCCGGGGTGTGCGAGGGGCAGTGTTGTTGAGTTGTGTGTTCTTTCGGAGAAGGTTTTGTTTGGCTCGGGGCTTTGGGGAAGGTGGAGAAGCAGCATCTTGGCGATGGCCTTGGCAGAGGCCGGAGTTGTTCTGTTAGGTCCGGTTCAACCAATTCCCATGAAACGACCAAGAGTCTCAGTGGTAATGCAAAAGCAGGCAGATTTTGTTGTGCCAGCATGCTGGGGTCAGACCGTTCTTGGGGCACGCAGGGCAGCCAAGGAGAGGTCGGACCCCGAACTAGAAAGAGCCAGTGATGATGTAGGCCGGCCGTTACACACGCAACGCAGTCCGCTCAAATCCAAACGCAGCAATCAGCTTGAAGAGTAACAAACTTCAGACGCGTCATCGTCAGGGCTTGCAGGTGCAAACAGTCCACCCCATTCCCAGACACACTATCTTTATGGCTCCTTTTGTTCCTGGGACCGGATAATTGCGCCCCTGTCCTCCTGCACCCAGGTGTATAGATAAAGCTTGTGGACACTGTTCAAAGGCCACAGAGGAACGCAGGACACATTTATCGCTAAAGTGGAGTTTTCCCATGGGCCGGATGCATCCTGACCTAGGAAAGTGGCAGGTTTTTGGCACGAAGGGGCCTAACACTGCCCAAACGCTAACATTCTAACATTCTACTAACACTAACAGTTCCAGGGAGTGCGTGGTCAGAGAGGGGGCAAAAGAGGGAAGGAAGAGCCTTCTTTGAAATACGACCCCTCAGAAGCTGGAGTTGAACCCATTGGCCATGTGAATGGGTTCATCCTGTCAGCTTTTATAAGGTCTCACCTCCTCCTATCTCTACATATCTCTCAGTTGGAGTTAAATTTACCCATGACTTGCAGTTAACCCTGGCAGTGAACACATAAATGTCTACATCCTACGCTGCAAAACCCAACATTCCACCAAAATTTATGCTGCCAATTGCTTTCCTGCAAAAATCATTGGATATTCAGCCACATAAAAGTTGTGGGAAACATATTTGTAGTTGCTTAATTAGATGGTTGGTGTTGAAGGGATAAGTCAGGAATGATTCGTGCACTTTGGATTTTCTTAGCTTTTTCAGCAGCTAAAGGGAACTGACACTGAATAGCAGATACAACTTGAGCATGCAGCACTTTCATTTTGTGTCCACAGAATTGGTTTAGTGTAATGTGGGATTTCCTGTGCGGTGGGAGTGGCACCAGTTGCCTGTTTCAACCACAGGGAAGGTCTGCTAATGAGCTCACGCTGGGTGGGATTCCTGAATGAGTAAAGAAAGGGGCAGGGGACCAGAACATGGACACATGCATGCGTTGGCCTGGCACCTGCAGGACACTGCGCTGTGGGATGAGCCCTGAATTTGCAAGGTGTCTGCTGACTACGCGTGACAGAATTGAATTGTGTTGTAGCTCATGCTTGTTGGAGAGTTGGTTGGTGTTCAGCTCAGTCTCGCAGTTTTGGCTGGAAGTGGGGACTGAGGAAGACACCCCAGAGCAGAGCCTCAAGCTGACGTTGTTGAGTGAGATTAAGACCCCGGACGGGGGAGGTTTTCCAGACGTTGTGGAGGGGAAAGTAGTTGGCATGGCTCTCCCAGAACTCGATTTTCTAGCTGAGTAGGTTTTCCTTAGGCGTATCCAGGAGTGCTGTGTATCCGCAGGAGGAGTGCTCTCCCAGGTCTGGGACCATGGCTGGCCTGAGTGCGGGGTCCCTGTGGACTCGTGGGTCAGCAGGCTGCTTCCAACAGCCTCCTCCTACCTTCTTTGTGGGAATCATTGCTTTTTAAAAAAATTTTTTTAAAGATTTATTTATTTTTATTGCAAAGTCAGATATACAGAGAAGAAGGTCCTCCAACCATTGATTCACTCTCCAAGTGGCCCCAACAGTCAGAGCTGAGCTGATCCAAAGCCAAGAGCCAGGAGCCTCATTTGGGTCTCCCACGCGGGTGCAGGGTCCCAAGGTTTTGGGCCATCCTTGACCGCCCTTCCATGCTAAAAGCTGGGAGCTGTATGGGAAGCGGGGCTGCTGGGATTAGAACCAGCACCCATATGAGACAACTTGCCCAGTAATATAAGGATTTTGTGCCATTATAGTATGCTGAATAGATGTTTTATTTTTCTCATTCTTCTCCAATATGTGCTGTTGCTTTGGGCTGTCTCATCACATACATACACTGCAATTCTACTTGTTGATATTCATTACAATAACTGTCTTGATTTTTGTTAGGCTAGTCAAAATGCACAGTGAATGTATTACAAAGGGTGTAATATTGTGCACAGGTTAGGGTAAATTCTAAGTTAGTAGGGGTTATTGAGATTAACTGTCTCCTTTTTCATGCATGCATATTTATTTTGGGACCTTCTTTTCTCCCTCCAGTGTTAATTATATACCTGTGATTTCTTATTGCTGAGTACCAGTTACCATTGATTGGATATTTATCTTGCATTCATGGTTGCTGGGTACTACAGGTATTCTGTATTTCTACTGTCATTTTTTTTTCTAACATAGTTTGATGCTCTGTTTAGGGGCACCAAATTTAGTATTATGTGTTTTGAAAATTTGCTTCATATCTCACTGTATAACTCTTACAAATTTCTATATAATAATTGACTTTTTTTTTACAGTTTTTTTTTTTTTTTGGAAAGATATACAGAGAGGAGGAGAGACAGAGAGGAAGATCTTCCGTCTGATGATTCACTCCCCAAGTGGCTGCAACGGCTGCAATGGCCGGAGCTGAGCCAATCTGAAGTAGGAGCCAGGAGCTTTTTCTGGGTCTCCTGTGTGAGTGCAGGGTCCCAAAGCGTTGGGCTGTCCTCGACTGCTTTCCCAGGCCACAGGCATGGAGCTGGATGGAAGCAGGGCTACTAGGATTAGAACCGGCGCCCATTTAGGATCCCAGTGCATGCAAGGCGAGGACTTTAGCTGCTAGGCTACTGCGCCTGGCTCAGAATTGATTATTCTAAAATGAATATTGCTTTCCAGGTTTAATTAGACTCATGTTATCATGAACTGTATTTCTGCATATATTTAATACTTGTATTCTGACTATATTAATATTACTAGGAGACTGCATAGTTATATGTTTTGAGAAAACTGGGTTGTGGTTAACACACAATAATGATCATCCAAAATATATAAAATGTTAATGAGTAAATCAAGGCATTTGTCATGTGTGTAACACTCCTCAGATGGCCCAATAGCCAGCACTGAGCAAGGCTGACTTCAAGGACAGGAGCTTCACTTGGGTTTTCCCTGTGGCTGGCAGGGGCCCAAACATGTGTCATCCTCTGTAGCTTTTCTCAGGCCATTATTGGGGATCTGGATAACAAGTGGAGCAGCTAGAATACAAATTGGCATTTTTTTTTTAAGTTTTACTTATTCTTACTGGAAATTCAGATAGAGAGGAGGAGAGACAGAGAGGAAGCTCTTCCATTACCTGATTCACTCCCCAGGTGGCATCAATGCCGGAGCTGTGCCAATCCGAAGCAACGAGCTCAGAGCCTCTTCCAAATCTCCCACACGGGTGCAGGGTCCCAAGGCTTTGGGCCATCCTCGACTGCTTTCCCAGGCCACAAGCAGGGAGCTGGATGGGAAGCGGGGCACCGGGAATAGAACTGGAGCCCGTATGGGATCCAGCGTATACAAGGAAAGGACTTTAACTGCTAGGCTACCGTGTCTGGCCCTCCTGTAACCATTTCTATCATGACATTGCTAGCGCAGTGGTGACTAGGAATAAACCAGACCAATAACTCTCCTTTTCTCTTCCAGGTATAACCTTGAAGTCTGCTCCATGTTTCAAAGGCTAGAGGAAATGAACACGCAGACAGTAAGTTATTGATTTCTGAACTTGTTTCACATTCTTTTTAGAAGCTTTATGTGGGTGTTTTAGTTACAATGGAAAAACAGGTGTATATTAAAATTGTCATGAGTAAGACATTAGTGCTCTCAAACCTGATGGAAACCATCTCCCCACGTTTTCTGATGCCATAACCAAGCTTTTTTGTTTGTTTGCTTGTTTTGTCTTTGCCTGATTCAAATTGGTACTTAGAATTTGTTGATTCTTATGTAATATCAAATCTGAAATGGTCTTTATTGGTCTTGTGATATAATTAAGTGGTTTAGTACCAACCTGGAAATAAACACTCAACATTTTGAAGTGGTAAGACTTACAAAAAATGAATTAGTAAGTTTTCAGTTTTTGGCTTTATTTTTTTGGAATCCTGAAATATAAAATATGTGTTTCCCAATAGCATATGGGAGCCTGTATTACGCTCGTGAGCTGTGACAGGAATGTGTGGAGAATAGAAACTGATACAGGTTTTGTTAAAAGATGATTCATTCATGATTCATTTTCTCATTCATTGATTTTAAAGGCTGAGTGCCAAAAACGAAAGGAACGTGCCTTACCATTTCCTGGTTTGTTCTCCAGATGTCACAGTGGTCCAATGTTGGACCCAACAGGGTTGGACAGTGAGAGAAACCAGGTGCTTATCTTGGTCTCCCAGAGAAGTCTCCCACCCAATTACTGGGCCATCGTCCACTGTTTTCCAGTTAGCAGAGAGCTGGATTGGAGGTGGATCAGGTGGTAGTTTGAAATGCCAGCTCCACATGCAGGTTCTTTTTTTTTTTTTTTTTTTTTTTTTTAGATCTGCTCATTAATATGAAAGTCCCCAGGCAGTCGCAACGGCTAGAGCTGAGCCAATCCAAAGCCAGGAGCCAGGAACTTTCTCTAGGTCTCCCACACGGGTGCAGGGTCCCAAAGCTTTGGGTCATCCTCAGCTGTTTTCCCAGGCCACAAGCAGGGAGCTGGATGGGAAGCAGGGCTGCTGGTGCCCATATGGGATCCCTGGTGCCTGCAAGGCGAGGACCTTAACCACTACGCTATCGTGCCAGGCCCTACAAGTTTTTAATTTTAGAGGTTTTCTCAATATTTTCTTTCGTTACCCATATTACAGTTTTTGCTTAGGTCCGTTCTCAGATGACTGCAATGGCCAGAGCCGAGCTGATCCAAAGCTAGGTGATAGGAGCTGTCTCCAGATTTCCCACATGAATTCAGTGTCTCAAAGACTTGAGCCGTTCCCTGCTGCTGCCTTCGACCATAAACAGGGAGGCTGGATCAGAAATGGAGCAGCCAAGATATGAGCCATGTTAGCACTACATCTGGAAGATTATCCTGCTTCACTATCCTGATGCTCTTACGTTTGATATATGCTTCGGTATACATTTCATCATGGTTCCAGAGTGATGTATATAGTTTGTGTTTTGTATTTACAATTGATGTATTCTTTTTTATCAGTTTACATTCTCTGTTACTACAAAGTGAGTACACATTTTGTAAGACTTGGAATCTTTTTCGAGTTTCTTCTTTAGTTGTGTGTACTTTGTTTCATGCTATTCAGATATATAATCTATTCTGATGAAACTGGACAAATTTCACACGTAACAAAATATGTATTTTAGTCCAGTGATACTTCCTGCTTCTACTTTGTCTCCTGCCTGTATTTGCTACCCACTCTCCTTTTTGGCAGCTGTAGTTTTTGTAATAGCATACTTTAACTTCATTTCAGAATATAAGGCTTAATACTCCAATTGATAAAGAGATTGACACACGGAAGCTAGGAAATCATCAGAACAAAACAAACCCTACTATTCCTCAAGAGTCTAAACAAAGGCCGTGCACAATAATCCAATCCCACAATGTTGCTGTTTTGTTTTTTCTTTTTCTGTTAATATATCAGAATATCAGTTACTTCTTTTTTTTTTAAAGATTTATTTTTATTATTTTTTTATTGGAAAGATGGATATACAGAGAGGAGAGACAGAGAGGAAGATCTTCCGTCCAATGATTCACTCCCCAAGTGAGCGCAACGGGTCGATACTATGCCGATCCGAAGCCAGGAGCCTCTTCCGGGTCTCCCACGCGGGTGCAGGTTCCCAAAGCTTTGGGCCGTCCTCGACTGCTTTCCCAGGCCACAGGCAGGGAGCTGGATGGGAAGCGGGGCTGCTGGGATTAGAACCGGCGCCCATATGGGATCCCGGGCGTGCAAGGCGAGGACCTTAACCACTTGCACCACCGCGCCGGGCCCAGTTATTTCTTTTTTATTGAGGAGTTTATTTTTCACTTGTAACTATAGTATTGAATTCAACTTTTTATAATTAGCATTTGTAAAATGTGTGATTTGTTTAGTTACTTTGGAGGTAGAGAAAGAGAGAGTATGATGTAGAGCTATTAAAGTGCTAGCCAAACAAGTATATGTGTGTGTATATCTATATCTATGTATCTGCTGTGTATCTGTCTATCTATATATAGCCTGGTGCAGTAGCCTAGCAGTTGAAGTCCTCACCTTGCATGCGCCAGGATCCCATATGACTGCTGGTTCAAATCACAGCGGCCCTGCTTCCCATGCAGCTCCCTGCTTGTGGCTTGGGAAAGCAATTGAGAGCGGCCCATACCCTTGGGACCCTGCACCTGTGTGGGAGACCTGAAGAGGCTCTAGGCTCCTAGCTTCGGATCAGAGCAGCTCTGGCCATTGTGGCCAATTGTGGAATGAGTCAGTGGATGGTAGATTTTTCTCTGTTTCTCCTCCTCTCTGTATGTCTGACTTTCCAATAAAAATTAAAATAATCTTTTTTAAAAATACATATATAAATATATACAGAAGCAACTTGATTGATGATAGCTAACGGTTTAACTTACACATTTTCTCTGCACAGTTGGCAGCCTATGACTGGGTCCGGGGGGGCAACTGCGTGTGCAAAGAAGATGTTAGTTTTGAGTCAGACTGTAGTTATCTCCCAACTGAGTTTATAATTTGTTATATAAAATTAAAATTCCAGTTTAATTTGAAACATATTGCATGAAATGTAAGAAAGAGAAAGCAGAAATGATTCTATTAGGTGCATTTTCAAAGAAAAATAAGCATTGTTAGATACATATTTAATTCTAATATAAGTATGGAAATTTTTATATAAGTTTGGTTTAAACAGTATTACCAAGTGTTTATTTTTCCAAGTTGGAATAAGAAAATTGAATTCCATTAATATTAATCAGATTTTAAAATCCATTAGAATGTGTCATCAAATTGTTTTCACAGATCATTAAAGAATTTTCTTATTCTAGTGAATATGAAACATGTGTCTCTCATCTAGCGGGTTGTTTAGGTCTTGTTTGTGTTGACAGATTACACATTTCAGAATCTTTCTAGAAAAGGATCAGTTTTAAATAATAAGATGAAATCTATTGTAGTTTTGCTATTGGAAATTGAATGGAGCACGAGATATTTTCATTTTGATTTTTCCCCTGTGTTCCCTAATAGAGTGCAAAGTAAACTACATCTATAGAAAATATGAACTAAGTAAACACGGAAGAATGTACGCTGTATGTTTAGTGATGCAGAGCTGAAGAGAAATGTTCTGTTATAGATGCTGGTGTCATTTGAAGACCTGGTTGTGAACTTCACCCAGGAGGAATGGAAGATCATGGACACTGCTCAGAGGACCCTGTACAGGGATGTGATGCTTGAGACCTATAGCAATCTGCTCTCCTTGGGTGAGTGAAATTCTGTTGATAAAAGAAAGAAGTTCCTACAATCTAGTGCCTGATAGAACTAGTGTGTGAGGCTATGAAGAATGTGAGTTCTATGCTGCAGGAAGTGATTCATACCGGCCTTCCTGCGGGACCAAGAGGTTAAGTCCCCAAGTTATTGATTTCACAACGTCCCATTACTAGGATACTACATTAGCAAGCCTGGTGTGATCTTGGAACAAGGAGCAGTGCCATGGACAGTGGAAAAACCTGTCAACAAACAAGTCTCAGGTAAGTCAGCACATGCTGGGCAGAAAAGCTCTTGCATTTTAGGTCTTATCTCTAAGGATAGCTCATGTCATGATCGGACACAGGCATTCTGCAGCCCTTGTTAAAGGATGTATAATTGGGAATATAGACTTACAGAGAGAAGGAGAGACAGAGAGCAAGAGCTTCCATCTGCTGGTTCACTTCCACAGTGGCTGAAGCTGGGCAGATCTGAAGCCAGGAGCCAGAAGCTTCTTCTGGGTCTCCCACATGGCTGGAGAATCCCAAGGAGTTGGCCACATTCCATTGCTTTCTAGACTATGAGCAGTAAATTGGATGGGCAGTGGAGCAACTGGGACCATATGGGATCAGTATGATATTGCACTGGCCACCTCCCCCACAGATGTATTCTTCAGAAGCCATCAACAGTTAGAATTAGACCAAAATGAAATTTTAAAAATGAAAACACATATTGGGCCCGGCACAGTGGCGCAAGTGGTTAAGGTCCTCGCCTTGCACGCCCGGGATCCCATATGGGCACCGGTTCTAATCCTGGCAACCCCACTTCCCATCCAGCTCCCTGCTTGTGGCCCGGGAGAACAGTCGAGGACGACCCAAAGCTTTGGGACCCTGCACCCGCGTGGGAGACCCGGAAGAGGCTCCTGGCTTTTGGATCAGCATAGCATCAGCCGTTGTGCTCACTTGGGGAGTGAATCATCGGATGGAAGATCTTCCTCTCTGTCTCTCCTCTCTGTATATCCGTCTTTCCAATAAACATAAAATAAATCTTTAAAAAAAAAATGAAAACACATATTGAGCTTTCATGGCTGTCACGTGAACTCAAGCTCTTGAACTATCTTCTAACTCCCAAGGTCCATTAGTTGGAAGTTATACTGGAAGCATAGTAGAGAAGACTCAAAACTGGTGCTGTATGGATATCTTGGGCATTGATTTCACTTTCTGTACACCATCCTTTGTCCTGTTTTATTCCCCCCACCCACCTAAAATACAGAATTTCAAGTTATGTAAAATATTAAGTAGTCAGAAAAGTATATTAAAAACTAGTGAAAAAGAATGTGATGTGAACATATTTTCGCTCATGTGTTAAAATCTGATTCATCTGGAGAAACAAGAAATTTCACTGATTCTGCATGAGCAATTGAAAAGAAATACTGAGATGTGATTCAGGGATGTAGTTGCTTCTACCCTTCATTTCAGATGCCCACAAAAAGGATGAACTGCATGGAAATCAGGAAAGTCAAATCAACCTCAGGAAAGTTGTAAACACCAACTCAAGCCTCAATCAACAGCAGAGAAATCACAGAAAGGAGAAACCTTATGAATGGAAGGATTGTGGGAAAGCCTTTTGTGACAAGTCAGCTCTCATTACACATCATGCAAAAGCATTTCACCAGAGGTCATCTTTCATTGTACAACCGAGAATTCACACAGGGAAGAAACCCTTTAAATGTAAAGAGTGCAGAGAAGGAATTTGCCAGCAATCACACCTAGGCAAACATCTGAAAATTCACAGAGGCAAAAAATCGCATGAATGCAAAGAGTGTGGGAAAGTCTTTGAATATAAGTCATCTCTCATTAGACATCAGAGAATTCACACAGGGGAGAAACCTTTCACATGTAAAGAATGTAGAAAAGCATTTTGTCAGCAGTCACAACTAAGCAGGCATCTGAAAACTCACACAGGGGAGAAACCTTTTAAATGTAAAGAGTGTGGGAAAGCCTTTTGTGATAAGTCATGTCTCATTAGGCATGAAAGAATTCACACAGGGGAGAAACCTTTTAAATGTAAAGAGTGTGGGAAAGCCTTTTGTGATAATTCATCTCTCATTAAACATCAGAGAATTCACACAGGGGAGAAGCCTTTTAAATGTAAAGAGTGTGGAAAAGCATTTTTTCACCAACCAGCACTAAGCAAACATTTGATAATTCACAGAGGGAAGAAATCTCATGAATGTGAGGAGTGTGGGAAAGCCTTCCATTATAAATCATCTCTGATTTCACACCAGAGAATTCACACGGGGGAGAAACCGTTTAAATGTAAGGAGTGTGGAAAAACGTTTTGCCAGCAGTCACAGTTAATCATACATATGAGATATCACAAAGGGGAGAAACCGTTTAAATGTAAAGAGTGTGGGAAAGCCTTTTGTGATAAGTCATGTCTCATTAGACATGAAAGAATCCACACAGGGGAGAAACCTTTTAAATGTAAAGTGTGCGGAAAAGCATTTTGCCAGCAATCACAAGTAAGCCAGCATCTGAAAATTCACACAGGGAAGAAATCTCATGAATGTGAAGAATGTGGAAAATCCTTTTATGACATGTCATCTCTCAGTGCACATCAGAGAATTCACACAGGGGAGAAACCTTTTAAGTGTAAAGAGTGTGGGAAAGCATTTTATCAGCAGTCACAAGTAAGAAAACATATGATAATCCACACAGGGGTGAAACCTTTTGAATGTAAAGAGTGTGGAAGTGCCTTTTATGTCAAGTCCACTCTTATTACTCACCAAAGAATTCACACAGGTGAGAAACCTTGTAAATGTAAAGAGTGTGGAAGAGCCTTTTATGATTTGCCATCTCTCATTAGACATCAGAGAATTCATACAGGGGAAACACCTTTTAAATGTAAAGAGTGTGGATTGGGCTTTTGTGTTAAGTCATCTCTGATTGCTCATCAAAAAGTTCACACAGGGGTGAACTCTCGTGGGTGTAGAGGGGGGCAGTATTTTGCCAGCAATCGGAAGTAAGCAATCATAAAAGTTTACACAGGGATGAAATCTCAGGAATGTGAAGACTGGAAAAACCTTTTCTGTGTTTTTTGCATGTGTTTTAAATTAATTTTATTTAGCACTTTTTTCATTCTGCTTTATTTTTGATTTTACGGTATAGTTCCATAGGCTCTGGGATTGTCTCAGATGCCCTCCCCCATGCTAATATTGTCCATCATAAGCATTCCTAAGAGCATATTTCGCTGTTTCAGTGTATCCTGACATTGTGGGGACAAAGGCCAACAGTCCAGGATCCTGTTGTAACAGATACCAATCCATTTCATTGGGGTTCCATCTTTGATTTGGAAGTAGAGATACAAACTGCACTATAACTTCACATCTCCAATTGATAGGCTCTATTACACAGTTACTATTCATTCCCTTAAATGAGAAGCTATAAAACAAAAGTCAACACCAGAAGAAAAGTTCAAAATATTTAGAGCACCATGGAGTTAAATAACACGCTACTGTGTCAATGAAGAAATGAAAAAGAAAACAAAAAACATTAGAGAAATTGATACTGCTGTGTGATCTACAGGTCAGTGAACAATTTGATAAGAAAAAAAAACCATTTTGACAAAATGAAACTAAAAACAAAAATATTAAAACACATGGGTTGAAGCACAAACAGTTTTGAAGGGGTTATTGATCTTATAATTTGCATGAAGGTTGTCTTGTATCAATATTTGTCCTTTTGGGTTTCACTTATTTGAGCAAAATGGTTTGTAATTAGGACTATTTATTTGCAAATGGTAGAATTTCATTATTTTTAATGGCTGAGTCATATCCCATGCAGTAAATGTAACACAAGTCTTTTACACACTATTTAGATGGGTGTCTCATTTGTATCTGTGTCTTTGCCATTGTACATTGTGCTGCTATATATATTCGTTTACAGATCCCTTTCTCATGTGCAAATTTCATTTTCTTTATATATATTCCTAGGAGTAGGATTGCTGGGTCATATGGCAGGTTTATTTTAAATTCTCCTAGCACTTTGCATACTGACTTCCATACTACCCGTATGGATGCGATATTTTCAAAACGCTGTCTATCTCACTGATCGATGGGTGAGGAATCCCTTCCAATGTCCATTGGCTGATACCATTGACCTCACAGCCTCCAATTGCCCTGGTATTTGCTGTCCTTGTTTGACTGGGGTAGTTGTCCATGTTCTGTTCTCCATTCTCTGCCATTGTACCAGATGTCCTTTGCAGACCCTAATGAGCTACCATGTCCTCAATGTGCACCATGGTCTGCTATCCAGCACTCCATCCTCCACACTGAGGAGGACCGAACTCCTGCGTGGGCTCATGGATGTGAGCCAGGTGATTGGGCCATGGCAGACCCCAGACCCTCAGGGCTCATGGGTTCAACAACTACCTCTCAAGAAGGCCCATCACTTTGGACCATGCAACTTGGGACCTGCCAGACCCACTACCCTGGGCACTCATGGACCCAGCCCCTACCATTCAGGTGGGCTTGGTGACCTGGACCAGGAGATCCAGGACCCTGTGAGCCCCACACACCTGGAGCTCATGGATTCAGCACCCAATGCATAGGTTGGCGCAAGGACTGGGGCCAGGACTGGGGCCAGGACATCAGGCCCTGCTAGACTCTGCACCCTCAGGATCATGGCCCTTACATCAAATATGTAGGTAGGCCCTAGAACCTGGACCAGGAGACTCTGGCCCCACTGGATCCCCACCTGGTCCATACCCAGAAACAGCTCTCATATAGTTAAGCGGGAACTGAGACCCCTGGTCCAGCCTGCCCCTCCACTGACCCATGCCACACCAGGCTGAGGGAGATTGAAACCATGTTCAACCCAGGACAATGCACCAATTCTGGCACTTGTGATCAGTGATGGGAAGTCCATCCCAGGTGGGATGTTCCTTTAGCTCCCCAGCCAGGCTTGTTCCCAGCCACAGTACCACACGGTTGAACCCAAATATCACCCTGCAGTTCTATGACCAGACATGATTCACTTAAGTATTTGTCAATTTCTTGACCAGCTAAAGTACTCGTCTTGAATGCGCCAGGATCCTGTATGGGCATCAGTTTTAATCCCAGCAGCCCCACTTCCCATCAAGCTCCCTGCCTGTGGCCTGGGAAAGCAGTCAAGGATGGCCCAAAGCCTTGGGACCCTGCATCCGTTTTCTGATATTCTCTGATAGATTTAATGCTGTAGCCCTTCAAATAGAGCAGCCTTGATCATGAAAGTTCTAGAGAAGT